AATTATGAGTTATATGTTTTTTAAATATGCACACTATCATAATATTATCATAATAAACATAGTAAACAAGATTAGTTAAAAAAAAGTTATTCAAGAACTTTTTTACTCAAAGATTTTATTAACCACTTAATATTGAAGTAAAAATATTTTTAAAATATTAAAAAATCAAATAATTTTTAATCATAAATACATATTTAAAAAAAAAAGGTTTAAGATATTGTTATGAGTATTCTATAACGATTAATTTAAAAGTGTAAATGGACCTTAAAATGTTCATCAAACGAAATTTTATATTCGCGTCTGATAGAGCCGTTTTATTAATCGTTGTCAAATCTGCTCAACCCCTACTAGACAAGGCGACACATCAGTTAGATTATAAAAAGAACTATAAGGCTTAAGCAAAAATTACGTGTGCTTCCTGAATTTATAAAAAAAATTGTAAGAATCAATAACTGTTTAAATTAATTAATGTTTTAATTAATAACATAAATGAATTAACTATTTTCCGGTTTACAGCATTTTACGTTTTTCAGCATTTTACTTCATTTTACTTGATTATCATTCACCCCATTTTTTGAATTTGTTTTGCCTACTTCTTTGATTCCTTTCAAAATTAAGCTGAAAAACTTTTTACTCCTTTATATTATTAAAATTTGATAATTTTATTTATTTTATGGAAATATTTATTAAACTTTACTACCTATACTTCGTGTCAGCATACTTTATTTTAGACAATTAAATTGTATTTCGCTTTAATTTTTTTTCTTTAGAAAGAATAAAGTATATGTGTATGTATATATTATTTTATCATATTGTATTCATAGTTACGTTATAACCTATTAATTTTTTTACACTAGTATAAGGTTCTGACGATAAGATCTTACTGATCTTCTTTTCAGATAGGGTAGAGCTGGACTAGTTGAGCATAGGAGCAAGTTGGGCAACTAAAATATCTCAAAAACTACTCATCCCATGGCAAAACATCTAATGGATAAAAGATAGGTATTTAGAATGGTAACAAAATGCATCAAGTGGTTGTTGGACCGCGGTGCAGTAACATGCACGGACACTTTTTCGATTTTGGACCAAAAAAGAAAAAAAAAATATTTTTGCCATTTTTCTCTTAAATGCTTAAAAAAACATTTATCTGGAATCACTTAAGTGTTTATATTTTTCCTTAAGCCTTATTATTCTTTTTATAACCTTGAAAATTTTAGTTTGTTAAAAAATAAGTGGAATGGAGATATTTTTTTTCTCATCTGGCACTTCTAAAACGCGAAGAAAAATGTCTTAAAATTTGAATTTTTCCGATAATGACGTAAAAGGAAACTATAATTGCATTGTTTTAAAAACAAAAAATGTAAATTATTTTTACTATTTACGTTAAACTCCTCAAAGCGCGTAATCATTAATGTTTATGCGCCATCTGGAGCCAATAATAGTATTTACGAATTAATGTTAAGTTTTATTTTATTACCATAAATTGAGCTAAGTTACTTTAAGTTACTTTATAAAACTTTGACTTTACCTAACATTTATAAAGCAACTAAGTCAACCCAAGTTTTTAAAATGTTCTCAAAAATTCAAACAGCTTTATTGCATTTTTGCGTTTTTTTTTGCTTCTTCTCCTTTAAGGCACTTCAAGAAGACTTATTAGTCTTATCACAGAGCACAGTGTAGGAGCTTTAATTAGGAAGTTTATGCCTCTTTCCTTACCATTGTCGTTTATTGGGCTTTGAACCGTGTACCTCTAGGTTCAGCATGAACTCTAATCACCGCACTAAAGTTGAAATTAAAATAATGCAAGCGCCGTATAATTTTTTTTAAATGTTAAATCCTATAATGGCATATTTATGCTAACGATTGGCATTCGTTCAATTAATTTAATGACGGAATCTAACCAACATCCCGTTTGATCTTTTAAATTTCAATGCTTAGACTAGAAGATGCGATGAAAGATAAATTACAGTCTATTTTGATTCCAATATATTTAATAGAGATAACAATATTTCTTTTTTATAGATAGCCTATAAAGGAAGTAATTCCTTTATACTAAATGGTTTCTCTTTTGGACTGCTCTAATTTTCAACCCAAAGAAGTTCTTTTATACAAAATGGTTACCCATAATATGTGAGATATCAGCTTAGGAAAAAATGTTATTAGACTATTAGGACAAAGACTTTTTTTATTTTTAAGAAAATAAAAAGAGTATTTTATTGATCGAATACCTCAGTACTTGCTATTTTAAGAATGTCATAGTAGCATAAAATAACTTAATATTTTTAAATATAGCACGGTCTAGACATGTTTTGTAACAAAATTATTATATTTTTAAATGATTTAATTTTATAATAAAACTCTAGAATAAATATTAAAAAAATAAAAGATTTTGCAAAGAAATAAATATATTTCCAAAACATTTTGCAAGTCATAAATTTGTAAACAAAAGTTTATCAAACCATTAAAGATAAGGAAGTAACGTTTAATTAAAAAAAAAATTGAATTAAAAAGAATTTGTGATTTTAGAGAAATCTCAATTTAAAGTTGACCGGATTTTTCCGTGACCAACCAATATCTTTTAAACAATTATTTTGTTTTTTATTAGTAGTAAATATTAATTTTATTAAAACATCTTTGAAATAAGAGTTTGAAAGTTTTGATTTTTTGAATTGTCCATTTGGTTTTTCCACAACAACTAAAGATTTTATTCGCTTTTAAAAGATTTTTTTGTAAGATCCTGATAAAAGACTGTTGCAAGAGTAAAACTTAGAGTTAACAATGCTACAAGCAATTGTGTCAGCTTTTTTGGTGAGACATTGAAGTATGTGACGAAGAGCACGAATAGAGTAGTTGTAGGATTTAACAGTGTTGTTTATATATTGGTCTAAGGAGAGTGTTGAATCTAGGTTGACACTTAGGATTCTTACCAAATTTACTGTAGTTAGTTTTGATCCAGAGAATGTAATTTTGAAATCATTTTTAAAATTATACATATTTTTTTTTACGAAATATTATATTTATTATTGATTTAATATATTTTGTTTTTATTTTTTGGTTATCATTGTTTACTTATTCAAACAGCATTTTTTAAAAAGAAATGTTATGTATCATGTTTAAATAAATACGGAAAATAAAATACTAGATTTTCTGTTAATATCATACGATAAAAAAAAAAATCGATTTTATTTCAATATACATTTATAAAGGAGCTTTTATTATTGTGAGGTTGATAAGAAGTTTTTTTATGATAAAAAACAAACTAAAATGTTTAATCAGTATTTATATTTATCATAATTAAGATTATGGTCAATGAATATTTATCATAATTAAGATTATGGTCAATGAATATTTATCATAATTAAGATTATGGTCAATGAATATTTATCATAATTAAGATTATGGTCAATGAATATTTATCATAATTAAGATTATGGTCAATGAATAGCATGCGTTGACCAACGTACATATTGTATCATGACTATTGAATTAATAACTTTTTTAAAATTCAGTTCTCAACTCTATAATAGGTTATAGTGTGCAAGTGATAACATTGATAAAAGATAACAATCCTCTGATAAATAGTGTTTCAAAGCTGGCCCAAGATTTTAAATTTTTTTTTCATGAATTCAAATCGAAATTTAAATTTGACTTTTGAATCCATTTAGTCCACTAGCACGCATATTTTAACTTTTTGCTAATGTTGTTTTTGAAAAAAACATTTGCTTTACGTTCAAAATTCTAAAGATAATCGAACCTTTAGCTTTGAACTAAGAGTAAGTACACTTTTGAAGAACAAAAATATAAAGAGAATGATGGAAAAGAGACAGTTATAAAAACGGCTTAAAGAAGCCTAAAAGTTGAGTGCACCTTTAGCTGCGTTTTGATAAAATTTTATTTGCTAAACTAATTCTGAAACGCTAAAAATCTTTCGTTTTTTTGTATTTTTACTATATTTTGATTAAACCAATCAATTAAACCAAGATTTCTTCAAACTAATATCTCGTACAAGATACTGTATAATAGGGTACAGTGAATTTTCATTTTTTTTTAGAAATTATTTAGTCTGGGTGTGCAAAAGTTATCAATTTATTTATTAAATATTCTGAAAAAATATCAATACTTTAGTAAATTATCTCGAGGTGCCTCAAGACTTTTGAAAATTTATTGGGTCCCTAATATCATAAAAAAAAGCTTTTTAAAAGTATGTCATGTTGGGTCTTAAATGAAGCGAACTTATATAAAAATTTCAAAAATAAGAATCATTTTACAAAAAATTAATTACTTTTAATTTTAATGCATAAAAAATGAAATATTTCCACTAAAAATTAAAAATGTGCATTTTTGCAAGTTTTTTTTCTAATAACTTTTTTTAATTTGTTTTTTACAAAATGATTATTTTAAAAATTTTTATATTATTTCTCTTCATTTGAGACCCAACATGACATACATCTGAAAAACATTTTTTATATAATATTAGGGACCCATTAAATTTTTAAAAATCTTGGGGCACATCAAGATAACTAAGAGCATTGATATTTATATAAGAGTATTTCTGAAATGAATGGACAACATTTGCACACCCAGGTTAAATGAATGGACAACATTTGCACACCCAGGTTAAATGAATTCTAAAAAAAATTAAAATTCACCGCATCCTACTGTATAACTCAAAATATGTTTTGCGCCAAAAAATTTAACTCGCAATAGAATTAACTAAAAATATAAAAAGCAATCTCATAACATAAATACAAAAACATTATGATCAGTATCACATTTTTTTAATTTTATAATGAGAGCGATGGTGGCGGGATGAAGTGAAGTATCAAAAATAAGTAAGTTTGAGGTTCAAAATTTCAACTTTTATGGAAGATTTCCATCATAACAAAAAAAAATAATATTTTTTAAGAATAAAATATAAATTTTAATACAAGTGCCAATTTAAGTCTACTTAATGCAAACTTAACTTAGATTCATATATTTATAAATAAAACAAGAATTCATTTACTTATATATAAAACAAGGATTTATTTACTTATATATAAAACAAGGATTTACAAAGGAATCTACTCATAACATCAACTTCGTAACGATTCTAATCTGGCTTGCATATCCTTAAGCTCTTCCGTATCATCAGATTCAACACTTGGACCTGCAACCTATTTATCAATAAAAATAATTTTTGTTACTTTTTATTAATATTTTTCTCTTATAAAAAAGTTGATAAAAGAATTTTTACTAATTTGAAATTTTATTTAATTAAAAATTTTATTTAATTAATAATATTTTAATTTCTAAAAACATTTATTAACTCTACATATGACAAAAATCTAGTAATTTGGTAAATCCCATTCGTCGAATTGGCAACTCTCAATAAATATCAAGAAAGAATGTTAAACCTTTTTATTTTTGTAAATTGCTTACCTTCAAACTGCCAGTGGCAACAGGTCCAGCCTGGCCTAACACACCTAAACAAACAAAATTAAACTTAGAAAAATAAATACAAGCAATAAGCTATATACATTTTAAATAGTAAAAAAATATTTTTTGTAATACTTAATTTTAAATGGTTGTAACTTTTTATTTTTCTTAACCTATATGAATGTAAACCAAAGAAAATTTATACCTTTTGTGACTTCAAAAAGAATTTTTTCAACTTCTTCTTGAGCTTCATCTTCCAGTTCATCTTGATCTTCCATTCCACTGAAAGTATCTTCAAGCATCTCCTCTATTAAGCCAGCCTAAAAAATAAATTTAAATTGACTGTATTACTTCTAGTATTTTGCTTAAAATTTCGTATTAACTATTTTTAATTTACAAGTTCTAAGGAAAGCTAAATATTTATTATACACTGCAGACCAAAGTCATTTGAGGTTTAAGTTTATGATTAAAGACAGAATTTTACATAACAAGATTTGAAATACAATTTCAAACCAGACATGTAAAAACCCTGATGTCAGATGTCAGTCTACCTTGGATCAACCTGAGAGGGACAAAAACTCTTATTGATAATAGGATTCAGAAAATTTTGGTTTTTCAATCAAGGCAATGGTAAATAGACTTTTTAAAATTTTTTTTCTTTTCACACAAAAACTGTATAGTATGACATTGGGTTTGCGAAAAACTTTTGCTATTTTTAACTTCTGTTTCAACAATAACTTATTTTCAAATTTTTTTTTAAATAATACGAAAACAGACCAATTTAAAAAAAAAAGAATATTAATGGGACAAAAATAGAAATTACTTTTACATGTTTAAATAGAAATTTTTATACCGAAATAACAAATAATAATGTAAAAAAACTTTTTTATTTAATGTCTTCTCAATATACAGATTTATTAGGCACAAAACATATAAAAAAATTTTTAAACATAAAAATTTTTACAAATATAACATATATACAATTTTTTTTAACATAAAAATATTCACAAATAAAATATATATACAATTCTTTTAAACAATAAATAAAATGTTCACAAATAAAAAAACAACTTTTGCATTTTTATTACTATTCTACTAAAAATATTAAATTATTTTAGTTACCATTCTCCTATATTTTTTTTAAAAACATTAAATTTATAAAATATACATATAAAATATACATTTTGATTTCTCTCCCTATAGCAAAGAAAACAACTCTGTTCAACTCTATAGCAAAGAAAACAACTCTGTTCAACTCTATAGCAAAGAAAACAACTCTGTTCAACTCTATAGCAAAGAAAACAACTCTGTTCAACTCTATAGCAAAGAAAACAACTCTGTTCAACTCTATAGCAAAGAAAACAACTCTGTTCAACTCTATAGCAAAGAAAACAACTCTGTTCAACTCTATAGCAAAGAAAACAACTCTGTTCAACTCTATAGCAAAGAAAACAACTCTGTTCAACTCTATAGCAAAGAAAACAACTCTGTTCAACTCTATAGCAAAGAAAACAACTCTGTTCAACTCTATAGCAAAGAAAACAACTCTGTTCAACTCTATAGCAAAGAAAACAACTCTGTTCAACTCTATAGCAAAGAAAACAACTCTGTTCAACTCTATAGCAAAGAAAACAACTCTGTTCAACTCTATAGCAAAGAAAACAACTCTGTTCAACTCTATAGCAAAGAAAACAACTCTGTTCAACTCTATAGCAAAGAAAACAACTCTGTTCAACTCTATAGCAAAGAAAACAACTCTGTTCAACTCTATAGCAAAGAAAACAACTCTGCTCAACTCTATAGCAAAGACACTCAAGTAAATACTCTGATGAACTCGTAAAAGGAACTTGTTTCTTGCAGAGCGCTTATTCTTCAAGGTTTGTGTTTTGAAGTTTTAAGGTTATTACAGAGTTGTAACATTTGAATGAGAAAAGTTTCCTCTTTGAATGCAGTAGTACTATTCTTTTTGAAAAATTACTTTGCTAAAATTTGGCTTCCATTTATGTAGTATCAATCATCGTTCCACCTCTTTCTGCTTCCACTTCACTAATTTTGTGGATTTTTAGTCTTAGGTCACCCATGATTGTTTTCTCTTAATCTACCTTGATCTTTCAAGAGTGATAAATCAGATTTTTCATGCTTTGTCATTTATTTGTATTATAAGACAAAACCTTCTTCATACATATATTAAAATTAGTAAATCATTATCAACCATATTTATGAAATAAGCCAAAATAGATAATTCAATTAACATTACTTTTTATTACTATTATAATCAACAACATAAAAAATATAATTTAGAAAAACAATGATTAAATACAATGATAGCAAACATTGGCTGTCTATTAAATAATTTTACTATTGAGATTTCAATTTAGTGTTTGTAATAGTTATAGTTAATGCTTTGTATTCAGACTCACTCCATTGATTGCTTGCAATGTTGCAATGTTGCATTGATTGCTTGCAATGTTGCTTTAAGTTGTTTTTGTTTTTTTACAAAATCACCTTCTCAAGACAGTGAGTCCTTTGGAAGAGGCTTTGGAAGAGGCTTTGGAAGAGGCTTTGGAAGAGGCTTTGGAAGAGGCTTTGGAAGAGGCTTTGGAAGCTTTTATACACTATGAAATGTTTATTCTGAGTCCTATATACTCAAAATGAAACCCAAGAAAAGCAACACCGATTTAGAAAATTTAATTGAATTAAGACTTTTAATATAACAGCTCTGTAATTACATTTTTAGTTTTTGTTTATACAACCACTTAAGTCTGAACCTATTTCAATTTTTTTTATTTCTCTCCTCATTTTTATTTTTGACTTATCATGTTCTTTTCTCCTGAAACATAAACCTTTATCCTGAGACCTAGAATCAAAACTTTTTGATCATGCGACCAAAACTTCTTGATGCCTATACTGACTCACTAGTTTTTTTTAAAAAAAATAGGAATATTTGTTTTTAGCCTTAACATATTTTTGTTAAATAATGCTTTTGGTAGATTACATTCTAAACATTATGGTAATATATTAAACCTATATATACAATATACAATGATGAAAAAAAATTAAACTGTTTCACATTAGAGCTTTTTATCTCATCATTGTAGATGGAGAGTAAATTTTACTAAATTTTCTCTTTCTATAATTAATCACTTACAAAAAGTTTATAAAGAAATACTAATTTTTTAGAAATTTTATAACAGGAGGGTAGGTGGGGGTGGGGGTGGAGGGGGCATTATCCCCCTAACTAAACACTGGGGGAGGGGGCAGACACTGCATTTAGCCCCCCTCCTCCCATTTTCTAACAGTTTTAAAAAAACTTTTATGATAGCAACAGTGGAATTATCATTTTCCAGTCTGCAATGACTCAATGACTCAATCACAATTAAACATCACCATGGAAAAGTATATCCATAAAACTGTTTAAGATACTACCGCATACTAACTATTTTTTAAATGAATGTGTGTTGGCAAAAGACGACTAATCACGTTAAAAAGATGATTAATCATGTTGTGTGTGATAAATAGTTGAATAAATAGATCATTTTTGTCTATTTTGCTGTATCATACGAAATTGAGGAACTTTTTCTTTTTTAACATATGTTTTCAGCCCCCCAACTTTTGCGACCTTCCTATACCACTGACTACTGTTGCATATGAGTTGCATTCCATGCCATAGCATGTCATTACATACCATATGAGTTGCATAACATGACACGCTCAAACTTTTTTTTTATAAAAAATCTTTTCTTGAAACCTTTTTTTGTTCTTTCTATATTTTTAAGGATAGAAGGCCAACATTTATGGTTCATTAACTATATATTGACCAATTATGGATCATTAACTACTTTTATCAACAACTTATCAAAATATTTTTACTTTGATTTTTATTTAAATTTCAGTATGATGATGACTTTATGCGCTGGTAAATCCTTATTTATTGATATTTTTATTTGTATATATTTATATTTTTAAATATTTATGTATATTTACATTTTTAAATATATAAGCTGAGACTCTTATATCTAAGATTAAAATACATACTTTTGTCATTTCCTTTGAGAACTCCATCATAGTAGCTTGAAGCTCAGGTATTTTCATTAATGCTTGCATGCTTTGCATTACTTCTGTACTTTTAGAAAGTGAACCAGAAACACGCAGCATAGCTAAATTATCATGAGCACTACAAAAATTTCGACTAGGATTTTAAACGATATAAATGGTAGTATATATTTGTTTGCTACGCTTATAAAAATGAATGCTATATCTGATATTTTTATAAGTATAAAGGATATTTGAGGTTGTCCATAAATTATGTCACATAATTTTTGACAATTTTGGACCCCTTCACCCCACCCCTTACAACAAATTGTCACACTTTACTGACCTGATATCTCCTAAAATTATGCAACAAATTCATACCCCCTCCCTCTTTAAACTTTGTGGTTCTAAATACGATTATATTTGTAAATTTCTTAGCTGTAATTTAGTTAATTTTAATTTTTATTATTTAATATTACTTTAAAAGTCATTAATTGTAGGCGGATTACAAATAACAAGTCCGAAAAAAACCTATTATTTGTAGGCAAAATATGTTTAAACTCTTTAAATTTTTAATTTCTAAAATTCAATTTAATTTAACAAGTCATTTCATTTTAATTTAAATTGGAATAGCTGCAGTTGAGTACATACATACATCAACTAAGGGTTTACGATTTAGGCTAGGTACTCTTTTAACCAATAGTTGAAACTATAATAGAAACTTGAAAAAAAATATTGCATCACAAAAATAAATACCTCCCTCTGTCACAAAATTTTTAACCCCTCCTCCTCCCTCCCCTACTATGTGACATAATTTGTGTACGACCCCTTTTGATTATCTTACAAATAAATGGTGTAACTATCATTTAAAAAATGTATGATTATCTTTGACATTCAAAAAAAAAATTAAAAATCATTTACCTAACTGATTATTCATTTGCATTTCAATAGAGTTCAATTGTGCTTTTGCTGAATATAGTTTATTAACAGCCTTTCTTGAATTAATGATTTCTTTAGCTAATATATAACATACATCTTTTTGGCCCTTTTTAGCTGCATCTTTAATTGATCTTTGAACCTTTGCTTCTTCCAACTTTATAGCTTTGAAAATAAATTTATAACAAATTTATCATTAATAACAAAAATAGATATCTTTTAATTAAGCAAAATTAATTTTGTAAAATACAAATTTTATTACATCAAAAAAAAATTTGCTGTAAAAACGTAAAAAAAAAAAGAAGAAAAAAGGTCTCAATTTTTAATTTGGGCAGCGCCCAAATATGATCGATTCTATTGAAAACAGTTTAGAATAGCCCCTGTATATATATATATATATATATCGACCCTCAGAAATAGGAAAAATGAGGTCAGCAATAATTTGAACAACCTCAATGTTTTAGAGGTCAGTATCAGGTCAGCAAAAATTAGTTGGTACAAAGGTCTTACCCTAAAACGTAGAAACGAGTTGCCAATTTTTTCCCGACCTCCAATACTTTCAGGTCAGCAGTTAGGTCGGCATTGATGAATGGCGACCCTTATTTTGAGGGTTGATATATATATTTATATATATATATATATATATATATATATATATATATATATATATATATATTATATATATATATATATATATATAAATAAAATTATTTGTAAGATAATCAAAAGGGGTCGTACACAAATTATATATATATATATATATATATATATATATATATATATATATACATATATATACATGGGAAGAAGAGGTAAAGAAAAGGACTCAGTAAGAGGGTTGCCATTCATTAATATAGGAATGTCAACAGTAGTGCAATAGTTGTTTGCAGTAGATAACTGAGTTTTGTTGGGATTAAAATTTACAAGCCACTGTTTGCCCCAATCTGTTACAGAAGTGAGTTCAGATTCAAGATTGGCTTTCCGTTCTAAGCGATCAAAAAAGGGAAGACTTTTAGTCAAGACAGGAGTATAAAGTTGAGTCATCAGCAAAAAGTGCTACTTTAGATGTAAGGTTGTCGGGAAGATCATTAATGTAGATAAGAAAAAAAATAGGACCAGGGATAGCACCTTGAGGTACCCCAGAAGATACTGGAAATAAAAGTGTTAGCCATCAAGGATGACTTTAATAAAGTTGTTAGAAAGAATTTAATAATCTCAAAAAAATTTTAAGATACACCATATGAAATAATAAAGACAAGCATGCCAAACTTTGTTGAAACCTTTATATGTCAAGAGCAATAATCCTAGCCTATTTGTCTAATGCACAATGATTTCATTGTATTTCATCATTTTTCATTGTTTTTATTGTTTTTCATCACATTTCATCAATTTTCATTGTTTCAACACAACATTCCTGTCACAGCACTCTTTTAAATGGAATTTTTGATCAAATTGACCATGCCCTTTCTCTTTACCCCTCAAAGAATTTTTCCTCTAATTCAACTCTCGAATCGTATGGCTATTCTTTTCCTTCCATTCCAATTAAACAGGTTAACCCATTGTTAGACATTCAAATCACTCCAGCTTTTGTTGCTATCATAGTCATATCTCGATTAAACTCTTTTACGGCATAGTCTTACAAAATGCTCTTACAGCATTTTGTAAGAGAACAATAAAGAACAAAAAGAAAAGTGAAAAAGTGAAAAGTTGCTAAGCTGAAGCACGTAAAAAAATGGTTGAAGGATTTGAAGAAACAAATAGTTTAATTCTTTATTAGTTGAATACCTCAATTAGTTGCTCCATGTTGTTAAGCAATAGTAGCTTAACACTTAAACAAAAATTTAATGTTTTTAATGTCATATAAGTAGAAGTAAGAAAAGCTCTAGAAAACATTTGCAATTTTAAAAAGTTCACAAAAAAAGCAACCTTTTTGAAGCAACCAGAAAGTTTAAACAATATATTCAGCATCAATGACCATCAATTAAACAATTCAATCACAAAGTTTAATGACAAATAAAAACTTGAACATGTTATTAAGTTAACATTTATCAGCGCTTGTTTTTTCGAGTTAATATAAGTGTACCACACTTATTTAAAAAAAATTGGTTTAGTAAATGAAACAAAGTACACAGTAAAATTAAGAGAAATAAATTTAAGCAAAGTTCTTCCATAAGCGTATAATGAGTGTTAATTCATTATCTAAATTTGATAAAGAAATTTTATTTTATTTTTTTACTTGCGTTTCACAGTACTAATGATGTCTGAAAATTAAAATCAACTTTTTTTTGTTAATAATAAAACACTTTGTTTTTTGTGCACAAATTTTTTATATTCTCAGTATTCTATAATGCACACACTTCTAGACACAAGGTATATGTCAGAATGTTTGTAAAGAAAAAAAAATTTCAACATCTAGACACAAGGTATATGTCAGAATGTTCGTAAAGAAAAAAAGATTTCAAAATGTGTGACAAGCTGTCTATTAAATATTAAACACGGTCACACAAACAAGAACTATTGCATCAGAACAAGCAACCAGTTCAGCTACAGCAAAGCAAAATTTAGAGGCCCAAAAAGTGTAATCAAACATAAAATTAAGGTTAAATTTAGCAAAAGGGAAAAATGAAGAGTTTACAAAAACAGTTAAACAAAAAAAACGGAAAAAACTTGAAACCTGCAATATGTTTGAAAAGCTAAGTAAAAAGAATGGCCCTTAGTTTTCAAAATGAGCTTAAAACACAAAACACAAAAAAACTAGACGAGTAAGAATTTTAGGGCTAGAGATGGTGTCTCAATAAAAATACTCATCTTGGCAGATGTCAAATGCATCTGGCTACTGTCTTGTAGAATGCCTTCTAGGCAAAGACTTAAGGGGTAAATCAGCCTTAGGTGTTAAGACTTCAGGGGTAAACCAGCCAAATAGATGAAGAAGGAGTGCAAGGCTGGTCAACAAGGGTGTTGACCAGCCTTCTACTCCTTCTTCATCTATTAGGCTGGCCCAGATGTATTTATAATACATTGTTTCTAGTTTAGGATGTTGACTTTTGTTTCCAGTTTAGGATGTTGACTTTTAGTATCTTTTTGACTCAATTCATGGGTTTTGCTTGTGTCTCTGTTTTTATGACTAGATAACTACTAATGAGGCTCTAAAACTTAGAGTTATAGTGCTGAGGCCAGCTGTTAGTCAAGTTTCCTGAACTTGAAAAGGTTTCCAAAGTTCTCTAAATCATTCACTAATATTCGTAATCTTCGAAGTAACTTTTCTTCGATTGAGTCTACTCTCTTGCAAAGTTCACCAGACCTACTTGCTCTTTGTGAGACTAATTTGAGGTCAGCTAACTTATCTTGTGATCTTAGTGTTTATGGTTACCTTATTTTAATTCATAAAGATTCAAATAGTCACATGCTTAGCCTGGGCATTTATATTCGTAAGAATTCACTCATTTATCAGGAAATTAGGTTTGAATCACAGACTATTCTTTTATGTGCTTTTGTTTAGCACCACTTCGCTCTATTGCTTTTCTCTTTGTTTTAAATCTTTTGCCTTTCTCAATCTCTAACTGAAATAGTCAACTTTCCAACTCCCTTTCTAGACAACCCAAATCATTTACCTTCTCTACTCAACCTGTCTTGTTTCTGATCCTAGTCAGGGCTCAGTTTCTCCACATTTACCATTAGATGCTTCTGATCACAGTTTGATCTCTCTAAAACTATTATCTCATTCTTCTTCATCATCAGAATTTCCCTATCATCATACCTCCTACAACTACCTTAAAGCTGACTGGGACTCTTTCTGTGATTTTCTTTGTAATGGCCTTTGGGTAAAAATCTTTTGCCTTCCTGCTGACAAATGTGCTTCATACATAACTTCTTGGATTTAGGCTGACATAGAATCATTTGTTCCCCCAAGACTATTCCAATTCAAGCCTTACTCTTCCCATGATTTTCTTCTCATTGTGCTGCTGCAATTTCCAATCATGTCTATATATATAATCGTATCATATCGATCAGTAAATCAATTCTCAAGAAAACAGATATCTGTTTACTATTTCTAGAAACCATTGTAAAAAGCTTTTGTCAAATGTCAAAGCCCACTATTCTCAGGTCACAAAATCTTGTACTTAATCTCAAAAATTAGGCTCTTCAGAAGGCAAATCTGTTATTCCACCTGTCTCGTATGTTTCAGAATTTGTCACCTCACCTAAAGACGAAGCTAAATTGTTTGCTAAGTCCTTTTCATCAATATCATCTCTTGATTCCACTAGTTGCATTCTACCTGATATAGCTGACAAACAGGTTGATCCATTGCTTGACATTCATATCACACCAGCTTCTGTACCTAAAATGATTTCCTTCTTAGTGTTACAGCTTTTGTTTCAGACAACATACCTGTGATATTCTTGCAGAAGTGAAGAACTCTGGAGCTGTTGTCTATACTTTTAAAACTATTTAAGAGGTGCTTATCAGACTCTTGTTTTCCAGCTTGCTGGAAAGCAGCATCTGTTATCCTTATTTTCAAAAATTCTGGAGAGTGATCTGACTCACCTAACTACTGTCTAGGCTTGGTAGGGAAGCGAGAGTGATCTCTCTCAAATACTGACCATAGAAATTATAATTAGTTGCGAAAAACTGGCCAAGTTATTTAGTCGTTTTGAGAACATTTAAGTTTATGTACGAAACAAAAAGTTTTTGTTTTACGGACATAAATGGAAACATAAAAAACTTGAATGTTCTCAAAACATCTTGGTGCGGAAGAATAAAAAGAATATTTGCGAACTCTAAAAACCCGCCAAATTAACGAACAAACTAATTCTATTGGTTCAAAAAATACGCTGACTAAGCAAAATAAAGTTCTAGAGTATTCTGTTGAAATGTTTTAGAAATTGTATTATTCACGATTTGTTATGTTTTGAGATTACTAGCATAAGTTGTTTTAAGAATATATTATTTATATTATATATATATATATGTAATGTTTCTGTCGCCTGTATATAAATATATTGACTAACAGCACTATTGCACCTTCTAAAATCGTGTGCAAATCTGTCTGCTTTCTCTATGCTATCTTTCTAACACAACTACTTCTTCCTTTCACTCTAACATATCTTCGTTCTTCCTAAACTCACCTTACTTTTGGTCTGTAGAGCGGGTCGTGACGCTCCTTT